ATCACAGGGACACCTGGACATGTCTCCAGTCCATCACAGGGACACCTAGAGACACTTTAGAGTCACCAGTCAGTCTAACGTGCATGTTTTTGGTCTGTGGGAGGAAACTGGAGCACCTGGAGAAAACCCACGCAGCACGGAGAGAACATGCAAACTGCACCATGAAAGACAGATGGACACTTTATTGTCCCCAAGGGGAAATTTGTTTGGACATGGTGCACTAAACAAAGCTTCTTCCACAACTAAGGACACTACAAACAATAAAATCATGTGAGCGCCACAATAAAATAAAAACACCTGTTGCTCAAGGTCTTCGGTCAGGATTTGAACCAGGGAGACATGAGAGGCAGCAGATCTACCAACTGAACCACCGTGCTGCCGTTACAAATGTCTTCTCTACCTCAGCATGTTCTCCTCAGTCTGATATCACACCAGGGTTCCAACATTTACACAACCTGCTTCTTCTCTACGTTCTCCATCATGTCTTCAGTCTTTCTGTCTCCATCCACCCAGTGTCTCTGCTGGAGGACTGATGGTGTCCTCTCAGAGGTCAGAGGTCACACACCCAAACAGGAAGTGAACGTCATATGTCCTCCATCAGATCCTGTAGAACCTTCAAACAGAACCTGTGGGACCATGAACCTGTGGTACTGTCAGAACCTCCTGCTGCTCACGGGTCAACAACTTCTAGTTTTCAGACTGTTGAGGCTCATTTTTTACTCTGCGGTTCTGTCTGATACAGAGAGGGGCTTTAAGCTCCGCCTCCTCTCTCTGCATTTCAGAGAAAGGTGGGAATCACCATGGCAACCAGTGCCTGAGCAGGTGCCACAGAAAAGCTTTAATTAAAATACAAACAGGAAGAGGCTGGAGTTTCAAAGTAAGAGTCTAGCAGTGTCCGATGATTTTCAGCAGGAAGTGTTGTGGATCCTTCAGAAGCTTCTTTCACTTTGAGAACATTTCTGCTTTCTCTACAACGGTTTGTGTTTTATAGAATTAAAATAAACCTTTGATCAAACGTCTGCACAGAGTGATGTCATCACGCGTCATCAATAAAAACATCAACGGCTTCATTTTGGACAAACACACAAACATTTTATGGTTTTTCATCTGTTTCATCCTTCAGGATGGAATCTGAGCTTCTTATGCTACTGTTAGCATTTAGCTACTGTTAGCATTTAGCTACTGTTAGCATTTAGCTACTGTTAGCATTTAGCTACTGTTTTGCTGCTTTCAGCTTCGTCCAAGCATTTCTCTACTTTTACCTAATGCTAAGCTTTAGGTAGCACTTAGCTTCTTTTAGCTGATGTTCTGCTGGTGTTGGCCTGTTTCGGCTGTTGTTTACGTGTCAGCTCTTTTGTAAACATGAACAGATCAATAAATAAATAAAAACAAACCTGTCATCACCTCACATAAATAATGGTCACGTGTTGTTCTGCACGTTTCTGTTCACAGCTCAGTCTGAACCGAATCAGCTGACATGGACCGGACCGGGGTCCTCACGGAGCTGGACCGGACCGGGGTCCTCGGTGGGTCCGGATCCGTGCGCGTGCAGTCCACCTTAAATGAGTCGTCTGCGCACCACGTGACCCAGTTCCTGGAAAGTTCCTGGAACTGGAGCTCGGGGTTTCTGGTGGACTCCGGGGTCCGGTCCAGTTCGGAGTCAGCAGCAACAGAACCGGACCGGTTCGGAGGGAAGGCAAGCGGGAAAACCCGAACCCGTCTCCGCATCCTGGCGGGGCGGGACCAGAACCGTCCGGCTCAGCAGCGTCTCTGTGCCGGTTTGGACTCTCCTCGGTCCCGCTGATAATGACGGGCGGCTCGGTTCGGTTCGGATGGACCGGAGCTGCCGCCGCGGGTAGCTGCTAGCAGCTAGCTGTCAGGTAGGTCCAGTTCACCTGTCGGTTCCGACATGTTGGACTACTGTCGGTCCCGACAGGTGGGTCCAACAAGTGGGAACCGTCAGGTGGTAATCGGAACCAGAACCGGCTCGCATTCCCTGCAGACAGAACCTGCAGAACTTCCGCCGAACTCCATTTAAATTTCTCCGATTTTTCCTTTAACCTGCTGACCTTTGACCTCTGGACCCACCGCCGAACCAGAACCGGTTTCATTTAATTTCTCATTGAAGACTCGAAAATTCTGCTCACAGGACAGAACTCCAGCTGACCCGGTTTAACCTCGGAACCACATTTCTGTTGTGGAAATCATGTCCTCTGATGATGGAACAGAACAGAACCGGTTCGACCCAAACCGTCATCAGCTGATCAGCTGTCAAACATTGGACCAGAACCGCCCGCAACTCTTTACTGACACAAGTCCAAGCAGAACCGGTTCTGTTCCTTAAAGAGCTCAAGTGATTTAAAAACAGAAACTTTCATGAAATAATTTTCAGCTGCTTCTTCAGCTGCTTCTTCAGCTGCTTCTTCAGCTGCTGCTTCAGCTGCTTCTTCAGCTCCTTCTTCAGCTGCTGCTTCAGCTGCTTCTTCAGCTGCTTCAGCTTGTTGGAGGACAAACAGCAACTTCCTGTCTGAACAGGAAACTGTTAAAAATCTAAACATTTAGAATAAAGAAGACAGGAAGTCCAAGAAACCACCTCAAACCTGACCGCCTTCATCATCATCATCATTATATTCCTTCCTTCCACCATCCATCCAACCATCCATCCATCCATCCATCCATCCATCCATCCATCCATCCATCCATCCATCCATCCAACCATCCAACCATCCATCCAACCAACCAACCATCCAACCATCCATCCAACCATCCAACCAACCATCCATCCAACCATCCAACCAACCA